TTCATGAAGACTTGTTTAATAATGTTTTATTATTTATTTATTTTATTCTGAACATGTTGGTGTTCCATAATTTTGAGGGCAACCTGCGATATAAAAGTGAACTTTCCCTGAAATATTAAAAAATAAATAAAAATAAAACCTATCAACCCACAACTACACTTGTGTGCGTCTGGACCAAAGAATGACTTCACAAACAGAACCATAACACATAATATGATGAGCTCTGTGACTTTTACCTCTCTGGTGAAAAGAATCGCTGTGTCCCAGTAGTCCGGGTGTTTGTCGTTGTTTTTGTTCAGCTTTTTCTGCCAGGTGCAGAAGTTCCGCAGCGTCATGGCTGCGTTCCCGGACACCTTGGGTCCTTTRTCCTCCTCTGAGATGATAATAATCTTCACCACAGTGATGCTGATGGAGTTGAGGATGCTGGGGTGCCTGTACAGCCGCGCCGCGACCGACATCAGCGTCAGGAGGTAGTGCTTCAGCTCGTCCCCGTGGAAATGCGCCATGGACTCGTCCGCAACCACCAGCGTCTCCACGTACCTGGGCACCGAGGCGAACCTCTTGGCTCGCCCCATCCTCCTCAGCATCGTTTCGTTCGCGCTCTCATGGTCCGTGAGTTGTTTGTACTTCTCCAGCGACTGCGCCAATGAGAGGCTTAAATCGCTGTCCACTGCGCACCTGGAGGCTGAGCCGCGCTTCAGGTTGCTGCTGGTTCTGCGCCTGATGATGTGCGCCACCTGCGCGCTCCGGGTGTCATTCCGCACGGGACTGATGAAATACTCCCAGCCCTGGAAGCCGAAGGCGCCGTTTAAACCTTTACAGAGGCTTAGAGCCGCGTAGGAATACCTGTCACCGTTTACATATCCGGAGTAAAAGCACCGGCTCAGCCCTGAGCTCGCGTCAGCGTTGGGGAGCCAGAACGCGTCTTGGTCGGAGAGGGAAGGCGCGATAAAGTTCGAGTCTTGCTGCAAGTCGATCACTAATTCCTGCTGGAAAGCTTTTAACTTTATGACACATTTTGCATCACTGATCTCCACGTCGTTGTCAGAATTCCTCCTGTCAGTGGAATCCAGCCTCACCGGGAAGCAGATCTCACTCTCCATRCAGAAAACGGACTTGAGCAGCGAGAGCGCACCGCAGAGGAGAGCAGCTGTTCTGATCAACATGACTGTGTTTGCATTCGACAAAGAATGCAAAAATCAGCAAAGTGAACAAAAAAAATGGGTTGAGCTCAGTGGAAGCTGTGAGAGCCACAGATCTGGAGGAAGACCATGATCCAGAKGGCGCGCGCGGTTTAGAAAGACGCCGGTTGGACACGTCCACTCAGAGGAAACCCCTCCCGGTCATGACCCATTTTCATCTTCCACCTGTGAGGACTGAGTCAGGCTGCTGCCTTCTCAGAACTTTATGCGTGAAAATATGGAAACACAATCTCCCTGTTGCTGTGGGGGCAGTCTCTGGAGGCGCTCATTGGATGCGCTTTTTCTTTTTCTTTTTTCTGCCACAACTGAAACTGTGCAAACATCATGGCCTGTTACGCATCACCTCAACGACATAAATTAATCTGATTTTGCACAATGAGAAGCTTCTGCCACATCCGCACATAGGCCTGTACTTTTGGGTCCGGTGTGAAAATGGAAAGAACATTTAACTGCACGTGAAAATGGGTCATAAGAGTGGTGATTATTTATGTAAAAAGTCWATTTAAATATGGCACAAATCATGCAACATGTTGGCGCATCTTAAGGTTTCTGCAGGAATAAACAAAAGCTGCGTTGGAGCGTCGGGAGTTGTGTTATGTGAAACACACGCGACATCTAGTGGACAAGAAAATTGAAAGAGGAGACTGACTTGTGCAATGTTGGAGAGCAATGATACAAAAACTCTGTGACGGAACATTTACTGAAGTTGTGATTTTAACAATCTAGCCTCTTAAATCCATTGCTTCAGAATAAACTGCATGTAACATTTACAAAGTAYTTTGCAGATTAAAACCTTTGGTACCACTTTACATATGGTTCCATTTATAGATGGCTTATAAATACTTTGTGGATAGGTTATTAATTCATCTGTAAACACTTTATAAATCATTATTAAGTGTTTATTATGCATTAATTAGGGTTGAGAAAGAGACAAAAYGGTGATTTCTTGCCAAATAGTGATCCAAATCTGTTCACATATCACGGGTGCTATATTAAACATTTCAGACGAGGTTTCTACCTTGTAAACATAATAATGTGTTGGAAACACATTATTTTACATATAATATATCCACAATTATCAAAGGGAGCCTTATTGTGAAATGTAAGMCTGTACACTTATACTGTTTATAAGGTCCCCTTATGACATTTATTAATCATTAATAAATATTGTACCTACTGTAAATATATTTCCAATAGTGTGTTTACAATGTTTAACATAGCATTTTATAATACATGAACAGATTTGGCTCACAATTTGGCAAGAAACCAGACAGTTTTGTCTCTTTCTTGTTCTTAATTAATGCATAATAAACATTTTTTAATTATTTATAAAGTATTTACAGATGAATTAATAACCTATCTGTAAACTATTTATAATCCATCTATAAGGGGAGCCTAGGCCTAATTCAACAAAAATGATTATCCATACTTGGGTACACCATACAAAATATTTTGTTATGAAGCACGTTGACACTTGGAAAGATTTGTTTCATAT